ATTTCAAGCGATGCTGAAAGCATGTTCAAATACATATACTCACACAAATATGATCTTCCTCCTTACCTTCCTCCGTTTCAGCCTATTTAAGTACACCGCTGTACATAGGCCTCCCCGATAGATCTCCTCATATGGTTTTTTGCCATAGTTGCCATACTTCGCAAGCGGGTAAGCAACCAGTTTCTTATTTTTAGACTTTATTAGGAAGACGCTGCTACCCATCTACTGATATGTTTCCCTCTGACGTCTTTTACCACATCCACGGGATGGTATGGGGTAGTGCATTTTCTTTCACAGCCACTACATACTTTGGTTTTCTTTATAAACGCATAAATCTTGCATTCTTGATCAACCTATAAAAGTAAATTTCCGGACGCACACATATGTACGTTAAATCGTTTTAATGGTTATAAGTGATTTTAGTTGCATATGTTGAATACGTGAGTGCGAGTTCTTACCACAAATTGAGCACGACTTTGGCTTAGATTTTGCTTCACTTAAAATGTACGCTCCGTCTCCCTATCTTTGCTGGTCAGAGTTTCTAGCAGATAACTTATTAGTGGATTCCGATATAATATCGACAGGTATGATACGAAATTATAAAACAAAAACTAAGAGATTTTTGAGTAAGTAGCTATAAAGCGACTATAGAAAAGATCAGTCAACTCTATGCCTCTGATGGTTACATCAGCGAAGTAGAGCAGCTCAGATCATCATCATCCGGTACTGCGATCACTAAACTGACAAACAAAAGTAGCGGTTATGGCAAATATTCCCTAGGACGGAGCCTCTCCGTCCGTGCAGCAGCGGTGAGTCCTCAGGACTTATTAGACGACGACGGAGCGCAGAGTGAAACTATGCCAGCAAAAGATCTACAACTGCTTATAATGGAGGTACGTCAATTTAAAGATTACTTTCACGATTACCCCGGGTTACTACCGGCCGGTTGAAACATGTTTTATTCTGCTCCGTAATAATTGATATTAATTAGTTGTTTAAAGTTGACGTTTAGTGTTAAAACGATATTACCCTTTTAGCTTATAAAACAAGCTGACTAGTGGTACAATCAGAATCAAAATCTGTAAAATATTTCCCATGTTATAAATGAAAATATTTCAAAAAAATTGAATAACTGCTGTGTTCTTAAGCGTAACTTGAGTCGCCCACTGGATTGAGTCATCGTATCTACGACCGGCGTGCACGCAGCAAGTGACTGTCGCCTGTATTACAATGTCGCCTAGAAGAGTTAATTGCGCGGGATGTCGCGAAGTAATTAGCGAAGCTAACTTGTTCATAAGATGCGTCAAATGTAAACAGTATTATGACTTGTTATGTGCAAATTTAACTGCACAGATGTACGCAACGCATTCCCATTTTGAAAACCTCTTGGATTTGCGTTGAATGCCGTTGTAAAATACCCAAAGGCGATAACTCACAGACACCAGTTCGTCAATAATTAACGCATGATATGAGTATTGTAAGTGATTGCCCCGATATATCTATGAATAGCCCGGACAATGTTATTGTTCGTACTGGGGCTCGCTATGCACCACTATCTTCCAGACAACACGGTACTTTGCTGGAAGAAATCCGTGTTTCTGTTGTGCATGAATTAAAATAAATGCAGGAGAGTTTTGAAAAAAATTTGACTACTAAAATTAGTAATTTGATTAGTGAACAATTTCCCATGTTTAATCCAGAACTTCGTAATATGATGACTGGGTTAACAAGTAAAATTATTGAATTAGAGAATAAAATTGAAATGATGACTAAATCGATCCAATATAAAAACAGCAGCGAGGAGACTAGTACAACTGCATCATTACCCGAAGTCCATCCGCTAGACCCCACCAAAACCCCAATTAGCCAACAAAAAAAAAGAAGTGGAGTAATGCCAAGAAAGATATTAAGGTCTCCACTACGGCAGTTGTTACTCCCAAGAGCCCGAGGGTCGATCAATCAACTAGTGCCGCCGTGAGTGACAATGCCCGTAATGTGGATCAGGCAAGGGAATGGGTAGAAGTGAAACAGACTAAAAGGTTGTGAGCTTCGTTGCCTGGAATGCTTCGAGGTACTGCAGCGCCGGGTGTTACATATCTGCGCGCAGCAGAGAGATGGAGGTACGTGAACTTGTATTATGTTCAGGAGGGTACAACCGTCGAACAAGTGCGGGCTCATCTTATCTCTATATGCGGAAGTGACGTTTGCACAGTGGAAGCGTTGAAATCACGTGGACGATACTCGTCATTTAAGCTGGGAGTTCCGGCCAGGCAAGCTGAAAGTGTCATGTCACCGACGCATTGGGAACAGGATATTTGTGTTAAACCTTGGCGCCAGAACTTTCGTGCCAAAGAACATATTACGCAGCAATAGGCGCCAACGGTTTACGAAAACAACTCTGTGCTATCAAAATGTTCGTGGTTTGCACTCAAAAATAAGAACGTTTCATAATAATGTGACTCAAGCTTATTTTGACATTATCGCCTTGACTGAGACGTTTTTGACTAGCTCTGTGTCTGATGGTGAATTTTTCCCCTCTAATTATGTTGTGATTCGTAGAGATAGGTTAGGCGACGTTGGTTGGGGAGGAGTATTGTTGGCTGTGCGTGATAGCTACGACGTACGTGTGATCTCGGATATTGACGGTATGACACCCGATAAAGAACTAATATTGGCACTTTTAAGCTGCAAAAATTTAAAGTTTTTATGTTGTGTGGTATACCTACCACCAAATTATCATGATGATCAATATATTGATGTTCTTACTTGCATAGAGAATTCTTTGTGTGCTTATTCAAATATGAACGTATTAATATTAGGTGATTTTAATCTTAATTCTTGTAGCACTAATGTTAAAACTAAAGTTAAATTTTTTTGTGACTTCTGTAACCTACAGCACCATAATAATGTATATAATACTCGCGGTGGGTTATTGGATCTCGTGTTGAGTGATTATGATCGTAACCAATTGGAGGTGTTGCCTGGATTGGATCTACTCGTACCAATAGTTGAATATCACCCTTCGTTGGAAGTCAAAATCAACCTATCAAACAGGAAGTTCTTGCCTAGGCTGCAGTTTTCGCCAGATGGGAGTTCGGATAGTATCGCTGATTGGAATTGGCGTAAGGCGGACTTTCCAGGTCTGTATGCAGCGTTATCGGAATTAGATTGGTCTGATTTAATGACTTTTACAGACGTAAATGCAGCCGTAGATTTTTTTAACAACAAATTGCAAGAAATTATTAATTTATATGTACCAAATAAAAAACTTTTTCTAAATCATCGTAAGTATATATATCCCAAATGGTTCACGCCTGAGATCATAGTAAATATTAAAAAAAATATTTCCATCTAAAGAGATTTAAGCAAGAAGGAAAATTATTTATCAAAGAATTGTTTAACTTTTATCAATGGAGGGTTAAAGTTTTGATTGACAACGCATATCAGCAGCATCTTAAGTTGATACAGAAAAATATAATTGACGATCTGGTATTATTTTGGAAATATGTAAGTGATAAAAAAAGAAAGACGACATACGGAGACATATAGATATAAGGGTAAAGAAGTATCAGGTCAAGATGCGGCTAATGCCTTTGCTGAATATTTTTGCTGTGTATTTCATGATGAAAAGCCCCTATTAAATTATGCTGATGCCGAAAGTACGGCTAATTTACAAGTTAATACAGTGACCATCTTAGTCAGTATATGATATAATTGACTTGGGCTTATTATTAGATACTAAATTAAATTTTCACAATCATGTGACATCCATTTGTAAGTCGGCTAGTAAGACTTTGGATTTTATGAGGAGGACTGCTGCTGACTTTGATGGGATATAGGGGTGGCTAAAACTTTGTATAATGCGTATGTTCGGAGTAAACTGGAGTTTGCAGCTGCGGCCTGGAATCCTTATGAGAATAAGTATACTATCATGTTAGAGAGAATACAACGTAAATTTGCTCGTTGGCTTTATAAGAAGAGTCACGGTTACTACCCTTATTTGTATCCTTCCCTATTCGTTTTGGGTATGGTTGATTTAGAAACCCTAATGTTTAGGAGGGTGATGTCAACTATTAGGTATTATCTTTTATAATTCACCACAAGTTGGACTGCCAGTCGGTTGTTGAGAGAATCGGTTTGTTGGTGCCCAGGTACCTGCAGAGAGATAATGGAGGAACGGTGGCTCCGCACCCTAGGCCGCGTCTCCTAGACAGACCGGTTACACGTACCAAACGTGCTGCCTATGCACCAACAAATCGAGCACTGATACTAATAGGGGACATACTCACTCAACACGATGAAATTGACATATTTGCACAGTATGACACGTCTGCTGAATCTTTTTAATAATATTGTCGATAATAAGACAATTAATAATTCAACAATTTAATTCGCTTGACTATGTACTATTTATTACTTTGTATTTAAGATGCAATTTTAATTATGGACATATATTGTAATTAGCTTTTATTGACATTGCATTATAAATTAATATGACAAAATATTTCATAGCCTGACTTTGTGTGATTGTGACCTTTTTCTTCTTATACTCATATTTTAATATTTTATTTTCGTATTTTAATTTCTCAACATGCGCTGATAAAGGCTTAGAGATTTTAAAACACTAATATTGCATAATTGTTTAATTTATGATTATTATTTTTAATTATTAATTCATAAGTGATACCTATATATAATTCGTTTGTATTTATAAAAAATTATTTGGATAGATATATTTTTTGTAATATTTTTTGCATGTAAAATTAAACCTTGTGTGCGTGTTGGATTTTCTGTAAGCCACAAGAGTTTTGGAATTAAATAAATAAATAAAATAAATAAGTAAATAAATAAAGAAGAAATGAGAGCCACACGTCTCCAAATGGAATTACTGAATGGCACTTTGGCTGCTCTGGCGCTCAGAATTGATGAATCCGATAAGAAAATTGAAAAGCTAGAAGCCCCGTTCTTTACTGGAAACAATTGAGCAACTTAAGTGTGATTTGAATGAGCGTGATCAGGAACTATTTTATAATGATATAGAGATCACTAGCATCCCTGAAGAGAAGGGTGAAAACTTAATACACATTGTTACCACTTTGTCCGTGAAGTTAGGTGTCAAGCTTTCTGAGAATGATTTAGTCAGCGCCACACGCGTGGGAAGGGTAAATGTGTCCTCGGAAACTGTGCCGGAGTCACGTCCGAGGCCTGTAGTTGTGAAGCTCGGCAGACGCGCTCTTAAGGATCAAGTGTTGATGGCGACTCGCGTTCGTCGCGGCATCACTACCGAAGGCACCGGTTTACCAGCTCCGCACCGTCGATTCTACGTCAATGAGAGACTGACGAAAGTCAACCGGCTACTTTTTTGGCAAGCTCGGAAGAAAACGAAGTAAACTGGGCTGGCAATTCATATGGACAAGGGAAGGCAGGATATACGCACGCCGGCACCAGGGAGTAGAGTCCCCGCGTCAGCGTATTCGTACGGAGAGGGAATTGAGCCGGGTTTTTGGGGTTAATGCCGTTAGTAGATCTCTCATCTAAAATGATTAACTACATCTGTATTTTTTATTATTTATATGGTATTACTTTAACATATATTTGTTGCATAAATCTATTACCATTTGTTCTTCTCTTCTTCCGGTTGTTTTCTAATAGGCTTAATATTTTAATCATTGCATTTTCATCAGTTTTGTATAATAATCTTAGCATTTTAAAATCATTAAATATAAATTAAATGCAATGGAATGTAACACATACTTTGTTAAATGATTTGTATAACTTGTATGATGAAGGTCATGAATTATTTTCAACTTCCTTTTATCTTAACTATGTATTAATATATGTGCTTTATTTGTTATTAATATACGGGTGTTGTGTGGGCGTTCTTGCAATGACAATTGGTGGAGCCACGTGTTTAAGGCTGCCGAAAATCTAGTTCCCCGGTCAAACCTCAAACCTATTACGCGAGATATTAACTAAAGTGGACTGTATTTGCGATTGCTTCTACGCTTACGTAAAAGCAACTACTATAGCATGCGGTACAATGCACTCGCTCTTCCCTAAACTAAACTATTACTTGCCAAATCGATGAAAGGAATCCTGCCTGATGAGGAGAACACAGAATTGGAGCGGTTAAAACAATTATTAAATATTAATCAGGCAGTAAATTAAGGAATATTGACTCACCGGGGTTCTTCTATCCTTTAGAGCACTATAGCGGCGATTTTCGGAACCTCCTCTGGACAGACACTCTGGGGCCCCAGGGGTGCGTCAGGAGAGAAGCGTTGTAGTTCAACGACGGCTGCGGCGGGAAGAAAAGAGCGCGCGTCGGTCGCGCGTGTCTTATATATCCTCGGCTCCGGTGATTGCGCGATGTTCTAGAATCGTCTTCTTTCCCCTCCCACCCCATCACCCGATGTGTCAATAGGAGGGTACGAATGATATCGTTTAGGAAGGGAATAATGATTCAGCAAGTTCCTACCGTCAAAAATAAAAACGCGAATGGTTTTCCGCGCAACCATCTCCCCCCGCCCTTGAAGGATTTCCTTCAAAAAAATAACTAAACAACTAGAGCTAAGATCAACTAACAAATAACTAACTAACGCTAAGATTACCTAAATTCAACTACAATTTTAATCTAGAAATCTAATTTAAATTATGGAAGAGGCAAGGGGCACAAACGGACAACAGGACGTAGGTAAGACCCAACCGTGGTCTTAACGCGAGCTATCCTAATTACTCCGTCGGAACCGGGAAAGACCTCCTCGACGATTCCTAACGGCCAGTGGAGAGGCGGCGTATTCTCCTTAGTGAGCACAACTACAGTTCCTACAGCTAAAGGCTCTGTCGCTGTGTTCCATTTTTGCCGAGACAGTAAAGTATGCAAGTATTCCATCCTCCATCGTTTCCAAAACGATTGCACTAACCGATCTAATAATTTGTGGCGTGCGGAAATGCTAAGTCTGTTCTCATCCATATCCGCGGCGGGCAGATACCTTAGAGGCGTTAAATTCAAAAAATGTGCTGGAGTTAGAGCCAGCGGTTCCGAGGGGTCACTAGATAACGTCCGACAAAGTGGGCGGCTATTCATTACGCATTCAATTTGAGCGAGCACCGTACTTAGCTCTTCGAAGGACAAAATTTGATCTCCTATTACTCGGTATAAGTGGCTCTTTAGACTTTTAATATTAGTCTCCCAATTGCCCCCAAAATGACTCGCGGCTGGGACGTTCAGAAACCACTCAATGCGGTTCTCGGCTAGAATGTGAGCGAACTCCGAATTATAATACTTGCTAGCTAAGAGCTCATGTAGTTCCGATAGAATACGTTTTGCACCGACGTAGTTCGTACCGTTATCTGAATATAATTTACTTATAGGGCCTCTGCGGGATAGAAATCTTTTAAATGCACCCATAAAGCCTGCTGTGCTTAGATCACCCACGAGTTCTATATGCACTGCTCGAGTAGTTAGACATACGAAAATGCAGACGTAAGCCTTTGTGGATCTTATACCACGCCCGCGAGTGAGCGTGACCTTAAACGGACCAGCAAAATCAGACCCGGTATGCGTGAAGGGCTTTACTGATTGTATCACTCTGCAAGATCTAAGTTCCGCCATTTCCGGAAATAATAATAATAATAATATATATTTTTATTTACTCTCACAATTTAGATTTACAAGTTAGAGTATAAACAGTGTACACTATGGGCTGAGAGTCTGGTGTCTATACTAGGCGGAAGCCTGTGTTACGGATCACCAGGGTCTCCCCCTCAGGATATTATCAACATAACTTAACAAGTTATTTGTTTGATTAACAATTGAGAGATATTGTATTATTAGTTACTTTTGTGTTGTGTTGTGTGTGTGTGTGTGTGTGTGTGTGTGTTTGTGTGTGTGTGTGTGTGTGTGTGTGTGTGTGTGTGTGTGTGTGTGTAACTGTAAGTTGTGTATGTATGTATGATCTATCCAGTACTAAAACTATGTATATGAAATAAGAAGGTTTTCAGTGGTGTCATAGTCCAGACTTAACAACCATTGAGTTACTTTTAATTTGCAAGTGCGTTTATTAAGAGGATATATACCAATTCTAGCGTTTACTTTATTATATAGAAAATTACCCAGAAAGATAAAAAATTTATGAGTAAATTTGGTGCAATGTGTGTTGTAGTAACAGACTAGATCATTTCTGCGCTTATCTTTTATCAATTGTAAGTTATAGTGTAAGAGTGAGTGCTTTTTAATGATACAATGTAAAATAAAGAGCTGCCTGACAGATAGGACTTTCCAATGTTTGTATAGGTCGACAGTAGGGTAAAGAAAGGGAAGTGAGGCGGATACTTTTAGTATAGCTCTCTGTGCTCGTTCCAGTTTTATTATTTTTGTCCTTTCAGAACCACCCCAAGTTGTTATGCAGTATGTGATAATAGATTGACATAAGGCAAAGTAAATTATTTTGATGACTTTTGAGTCAGCTATGTGCCTAAGGTTTTTGAAAATGTATATTAACTTTCTTACTCTAGTTGTTAACATGTTTATGTGGCTATGAAAACTGAGTTTGTTATCAATAATTACACCAAGATATTTTATATTATCTACTCTCTCAATAACACTGCAATGACATTGTGATGTTTTCAGCTTTGAACATGTATGTACTCTTAATGAATATTGGGAGTTAATGTTATTTGTTGAACGCATGGTAAAAGTCATATATTTTGTTTTTTGTATATTTAATGTTAAAATGTTGTTTTTTAGCCAGTCGATACTTTATTTAAGCCTTCTTGAGCGTTTGCATATACTTCTTGCCACGTATTTGCATGAAAAATGAGGGCTGTATCGTCAGCAAAACTTAGGATCTTACCTTGTGTAACTTTAATATTAAGTAGATCGTTAATGTATGTTAAAAACAGTGTAGGACCGAGTACACTTCCTTGTGGTACGCCAAATGATATGTTAAGTGCTTCACTAACATGATTATCAACCCTAACTTGCTGAGTTCTATTTGTTAGATAGTCTTTTATAAGATCTAAAGGTATGCCTCTAATGCCCATATAATCTAATTTGTTCACAAGCAGTGGGATGTAGACGGTGTCAAACGCTTTTGCTAGATCTAAGAATATAGCTAAGACTTTTTGTTTCTTATCAAGATTATTTACGACAAAATCAGTGAGTTCATGTACGGCATCTGCCGTTGATTTATTGGGGCGAAAACCAAATTGATATTGTGATAATAATTTATTACTTTCTAGATAATTAGTAAGTCTTGTATTAATTAAGCGTTCTAAGATTTTTGACATTGTTGGGAGCAAGGAAATCGGTCTATAATTGTTTAAACTATGTTTATCTCCACTCTTTAGAATAGGTATTGTAATCGATTTTTTAAAAACTGTTGGAAACTTACCAGTGGTTATAGCTAAATTACAAATGTGAGTTATGGGTTTGCTAAGTAAATTCTTGTTATGTTTAAGCAGGTCACTTGTGATATTATCCAGTCCTACTGCACAACCTGACTTTAGATTCGATATAAGTAGATCCATTTCCTTCTCATCCGTTGGCAATAAAACAATAAATTTTGAAAAGTGGCCTATTTCTGTACGGGTTATTTTATTTAATTGAATGATCTCTCTAGCTAAGTTTTGACCTACATTAACAAAGTATGAGTTGGTTTTATTTACTGAGGTTTTTGAGTCATCTGATATTGATAATAATTCAGTCGGTGATTCTTTAGCTTTCTTTGAATGTGTTATCTTTTTTTATGGTTTTCCATAATAATTTAGTATTATTACTTGTTTTAGATATCTCATTTTTTTCATAGTCTTTTTTAATATTAGCTAATATTTTGCCACAAAAATTTCTGTATCTTTTATATGTCAAATTTAAGACTTCATTATTTGGATGTTTTCTGACCTTTTTTATGGAGATTATCCCTATTTCTAATGCATCTTAAAAGTCCTGGTGTTATCCATGGTTTTCTTATGATTTTTTGCTGTGATATATTAATTGTTTTGGTGTGTGAATCAATAATATTAGATAGTGAATTTACCAGATAATCAGTCGCAACATTAACATCAAACATATTAAAAATTGGTGAAAAGTCAGTCTTTTTTATTTCTAAGTATACATTATTGTAATTAGTGATTTTCTTAGTCAAATTAGTGCAATAATTATTATTTTTTAAATTTAAAAGCAAGATAACACAGTCATGATCTGTAATTGTTGTCTGAGAAACACAGCAGATTGCTTTGTAATTCGTTTTTAACATAATATGATCCAAGCAGGTTCGATTGTGAGTGGGCAATGTATGTGCAGAAAGGATACCAAATGACGCTAATAAGTTCAAGTAGTTTTCGGCATGAGTATCTTTGTTATGTTCACAAATATCAATATTAATATTGC